TTACCAATTATCATAGTTGCTCTCGGGTTCGAAAGTTTATCTCGCTCCATCGACAAATCCGTCATAATCGTGTTTAGTCTTCCGTAAAGCAAATAACTCGATTGAGGAATTATTTCGCGTTGAGGAATTATTTCGGGTTGAGGAATGATTCCTCATCCATTGGAGTGACTCACACTGAGAAAAAAAATTATTTTTGCCAAGAATATTTTCTTCCTACTAGTAAATCTGGGGATCACTGTGTAAATACTCCCACAAAACTTACTAATGCCAAATATATTTTCTTGTGATTAGTAAATATTCTTGGCTAAAGAAAATTTTTTTCTCGGTGCAGAAAATAGCTTCACGTTATTTACCTCTTTTCGATATACGCAGCTAAAGAGTGAAATCCATTAAGATAATATCCTCCAATATTCCATGAAAGCTGAAATATTCAAGGGATAAAAAGGTCAAGAAGGCTCTTTCATAATTCATAATTTCTCTCAAATTTTGAGGAAAATAGCGTGCCCCAGGCTGAGATCATAATCTCTCTCATTCATCTCTTTATTTCACTCGAATGATGAATTAATTCAAGAAAACTTTTTATATTCACGATACAAACGATGCTACAAAATATGTAAATTATTGCGAGGGAATTCATGATGAATTTAAACTCACCATTATGCAAAAAAGCGTTTGGTTGTAGGGGTTGTCCCAAAAATTTAGTGTATTCAGTTCGGTCCCACTTGCGGCTGAAAGTCAGTTGATGTCGGGTATTTGCGAGGGTATTTGAGGGATCGGGGTATGAGGATGGGGCAAGTGTAGGGTTACGGTGGAGATGAAGATAGAGAGTTATTTCATAATCCCGGCTGATCCCTTAATTTTCATGGACTCACTTCGGTATGGTTAGAGAGAAGAAAAAAAATCTTTCCATCTCTCTTTATTTTACAAGTGCCTCCAGCCTTTCTCAGGGTTAAAGGGTGTTGTCGGGGATGTGCACTGAGTTAGTAGATAGGTGGTACATCGGAAGCCAATTAATAGCCACCCGTGGGTTTTGGATGTGAGGCCACAACTTACAACCTGACTATGACACGATGTAGCGTCTTCTTACAGTAACGGCCTCGTGCCGCAGGGCTAACTTGTGGGTGATAACGCCATCGTACAACTCCCTTCTAACCTTGTTGCCCTTCCTCCAAAATTCTCCTTTCCGAATGCCCTGGGGCGCTACACAGTCTCAAATTCATAACGAGTACTGTTTTTTTATGGCCATCCAAAGTGATTCCCACCACACCCCTTGGTGTTAATATACTTTAATGGTCGGTTCGGTCTTTTTTTCCCATTTTTTTCTTTCCGCTTTCAGTGGCTTGTTTTATTTTTAATGATTCTCCAGTCTTCTCAAATACTTTGGAAGATCCAATCCAGATTTATCTCCATTTTTTAAAGTTGGCGCAGAATTTAGTGCAGATACGTTCACTCATAGAAATTTCTTATTTCGTAATTTTAGTCACAAAGTCTTCGGAATTTTCAATTACAAGGTGATCCGCGCATGCTCCGCATATTTCATTTGAAATGTTTAAGATTTAGCGAGGACGTCGGGGTTTTTCTTAATTCCGAGTAAATTTAGTTGATGAAAACTCAGAGGGATAACGAGCTATCGATCATGAGAGATAAAGTCGAAAGGAGCGGGTCTGAGGGTGAACAGAAAGTTGGGCTGGCATATGGAATAGGGAAGGTGGAATCTCGTAACGAGAGGGTTTTCACCATTGTAACGGTTACATTCGTTAGAGCCTTCATTACCAACACTTGTCCTTCCAACCCTTTCATGTATCTCTGCCCTAACATTCACCATTCATTTTTCATATCCTCTTGAGGTATCATTTCGAGAGCACTTTATTCAGCAGCCGAACAAGTTTTATCACTAGTGAAATGATGAACTCAGGGCGCTAGTCCTTACAGTGGCTCCAAAAATTTAAAGCTTGGTTTTTGATGAACGAAATGAGTTAGAACACATATAACCCGGGGCTAAATTCATCAAGTAGAAACGCTTACCCTCAATAATAATTCACTCATTCCATTTTCCGCGTAATTAAATATTCCACGAGTTTTTAGTCGTCTGTATCAAGGCGAAATATTAATTTCAATCTCGTGGGTGGATTGATAAAAGTGAGATTTTTTAATGAAAGAGGATAATTAAATTGAAGGAAGAAAAACGACAGATTGTCAGTGAAGTAAAACCTCAATCAAATGAGTTCTCAGGTATTTCCGAGCTCTGATAATTTATACCAGAGAGAGTCAAGGACGAATGTGAGTTATAGCCTGGATTATTCCGGATGGAAAACATCGTAAGCACACACTGACTTGTTGTTTACTTGGATCCCTTCTTCCGTATCGACTCGCGCAAATAGAATCCGTCATTTATCAAGGATGTTGAAATGTAATGTAATCCGATGTAACAATTCCCAGTCAATATTCTTAACGTAAAGTGAAGGAATTCTCGACAACTTTGAATAATCGGTTGCTGTCAATGAGAACGATTAACTGAAAAATTTATTATGAAATTTTTTCCCATGGTGCATCCTTGTCTGACGCCACCGGTGAGGAATTTTTCGATTGCCTCAGCAGCAGGAATCCATCAACAATCATTCATTGTCTACTATCCATTAGACGCAATACATGATGAGATAACTATGAAATAACATGATGAAAACTATTCGATGCGAAGTCAGAGCTCCAGACACCCAGTGAATCTCAGCTCGCAGCTCAATTTCCCACCGATTGTGACTGAATTTACGATTGTAGACGAATTCTGGATTTCACTATTTCTTCCCATTCTTTTCTTCCTTCAATATTCTCCATATTCCCAGACTTTAGCAGAGCCAATCGATTTTCGTATAATAAAACTGAGCTAACGTCGAGAGTTTCTCGAATTTCATTGTTTCTCTAGAATGTATTGATATACGAGTCTTTGAATTCGGTTCAACTATTCGAATGATGGTTTATATTGAAGTGAGGAAGAGGAGCAATCTGCTGTGCTCGTGGTTTCTTTATTTTTCGGTGGTGATTCAATTATACCGATCGTTTCCTTGGTTTTCTTTTTCAAATTATTGAATGGAATATAATCTGGCCTGATTGAAGCTGCGGTGGTCGAGCTCGGAACAACAAGCCTGGGCTGTCATAGGGCTACCTTGGTATCCAAGCTTGT